TTTTTTGAGACAGGGTCTTCCTCTGTCGCCCTGGCTGGAGTGCAGTGGTGGTGTGATTGTGACTCACTGCAGCCTCAACCTCCTGGGCTCAAGTGATCCAACCACCTCATCCTCCCAAAGAACTAGGAGTACAGATATGAGCCACCATGCCTGGCCTGGGAGCATTTCTCAGTCACTTAATATCTACTATGTGCTAGGCATTGTTCTTGGCACTGGATATATCTCAGTGATATACAGGCTAAACTCCTACCCTCTGGTTGCTTAGTATGAGCAACTTCTATATGCAAGGCTGTAAGCTACACTCCACCTGCCCACTGGCACTAATAGATGACGAAAAAGAGGTAAAGAAGGTGTGTTTGAATTCCTAAGATTAGCTGCTAGGCCTGGGAGGGAGGCAGTCATTTGCCGAGTTTACTCTGAGTCCCTGCAGTGTGAAGGGGCCTGGGTGGGGTTGAGCCCACATAGGTAGAAGGGAAGATCCAGCATATATAGGGAAGTTTGAAAGCTAAAAGTCCTGTTCCTGTTCAGAGGTTTTGTTGACTGGAGCCTCCACAATGAACCAGACCCACAAACTCTCAGTCCAACGAGGAACAGTGAGATGCCATCCCAAACATGATATCTGCCATGATAGAGGTGGCATAGGAACCCTGAGGATGTAGAGATGTCAGAGAAGGCTTCACAAAAGATGCTGAGTAGGAGTTTGTCAAACAAAAAGAGGAGATAACTTTCTTGGCAGAGGGAATAGCAATATCACAGATTTAGGGTCCAAAAACAGTCTTTCTGGAGAACTACACAGGGTTACAGCTGACCTTTACTAGTACCAGGGATTTTGTGTCACTACTACTTTTAGCCGCATTTTACAGATAAGAAAGACAATCTCAGAGGAAGTAAGTGGTGGAGTTTAAATTCAAGCCAAGGGCAGTCTGGTTCCAGGGCCTGTGTTTTTTTGTTTGTTTGTTTGTTTGTTTGTTTTTGAGACGGAATTTCGCTCTTGTTACCCAGGCTGGAGTGCAATGGCACGATCTCAGCTCACTGCAACCTCCGCCTCCTGGGTTCAGGCAATTCTCCTGCCTCAGCCTCCTGAGTAGCTGGGATTACGGGCACGCACCACCATGCCCAGCTAATTTTTTGTATTTTTAGTAGAGATGGGGTTTCACCATGTTGACCAGGATGGTCTCGATCTCTTGACCCCGTGATCCACCTGCCTCGGCCTCCCAAAGTGCTGGGATTACAGGCGTGAGCCACCGAGCCCGGCCCAGGGCCTGTGTTTTTAAACACTTTGCTGTATCTGTGTGTGTATATGTAAGAGGCA